CTGATTGTGTTACCAAGGTGACCGACGTGCTGCCACATGCTTGGAGCTGTGACATATGAACAGAACTTGGTGTTGGATTTGATACTTTTCTGAAAAACCACACTTGAATAATTGTATGCACGTCACACCCTCGTACCAAAGCCAGACCTTGTGCGTCAGCAGTGGACCGAGTTCAGACAGTGTCCTTCCAATAAATAGCTTGAGACCGTTGTACTTTTCGCACTCGCTTGTTCGGAATATAACTGTTGTGAGACTTTCTTCCGGCAACTAGGCACTGGAGCGGGTCAGCAGCAGATACCACAGATTGGCGAATCAGCAGATATAACAACACCTAAGAGCGAACTAAGAGGCTAACACTGGACTCAATGAAACAGTTGGGTCGGATGTGGGTCCGAGAGTTGGAACGCGTCGCAAGTGCGGGATGCAGCGAATCACGTGATGTGATCACCGAATCCTTGCACGTATATCCGGGATATAGCAACTACTTGATGTAAGATGTAACGTGTGCATCGATTACTAGCAATCCAAACAAGAGAGTCCCGTATTCTCCCAGACGCAAAAGCGTCTGTCTGATTCATCCATTGATCCGTCGTAACCAGGTGGGCTCCAAATGCTGACACGCAGAGGTGGATCAGCGTTTGACAACACATGTAGACCAGCTGAAGTAGACAATTAAGTCGAGGAAGGTCGAACTTAAGCATCGATCAGGTCGAATTACTGGTTTCATCTGATGTGAGATCACGTCCATAGGCCTCGATTCGGCCGAGGAAATTGTGCCCGAATTATTGGACAATAACAGCACGCCAACTGGATCACTGGAGAAAGAAGACCTCTGCAGATTACTGGACTTATGTCTGATCACACATTTCGAGTTCAACGGAGAATACTATGAACAACTACGAGGGACACCAACGGGATCGCCGACTTCAGGATTCATTGCAGAAGTCACAATGCAAAAATTGGAACACATTGTGTTGCCCGATATAAATCCCAAAATATGGATCCCTTACGTGGACAATAGATTTGTGATTATCAGAAGGAGGGAACTGCAACGAGTAAGTCAACTGCTAAACAACGTTTTCGACGAAATCGAGTTCACAACCGAAGAAAAAACAAGGGAAAACTGGCGTTCCTGGACGTCCTCATCACTAGATTGCCGAGGTCTAGAGAAAGGCAACACATACGGACCAAATCCTCAGCTACCACAGCAACCATCCAAATTGCCACAAAGCTGCATTCGGACATTCTTCAAGCGGATCTAGACACACTGCAGCACAACAGAACCCAAGATCAAAGAAGAAGAGCGCCTAGACAGATTGTTTCAGAAGAAGAATGGATACCCGAGGAGTTTCGTCTGGAGAACACTCAGGAAGCCAAATACGATCGATGCAACAGGGCAGAATGCAAGCAAACGAGTCACAATCCCGTACATCAAGAACGCCGCTGAAATGCCAGTGAGGCTCCTACGACAGCACAATACACTGGTCGCTTACAAGCCTGCGAACTCTTTGTGTAGGCTCTATCAATACCGAAAGTAAAATTAGATCCAATGACGAAGAACATTGTCATTTTCTGGATCCAACTCAAGGACTGCGACAAAGGGCATATAGGGCAAACGGAAAAGAAGCTCTTCACCGGAATATAGGAACACAAGCTTGCCAATAGAAGGCACAATCAATTCTTTCTTATCTCCTTACACGGAGATCAGGAAGAACACGTGTTCGATCGGAGTGGCGTTCGCATACTGGCTCAAGCAATAACATAAAAAGAACACGAATTTATGGAATCGTAGTACTTCACCGACGAAGCCATCAAAAACATACCGAAATTGTTCCCATTTACCAGCTACTAAGAGCGAGAGAACTCCAGAACCACAGAGATCTTAGCTGCAAATTTAACCGAACGAGAAACTCATAAGAGGAGCTGGAAGGCTCCATTCAAACGAATAAATTAATTGGATTAAAGGAGCCGCACAACCAAGGCACCAAATCAACTGGCGGACGCAGGGACACTTATCGCCACGGTGGAGGAAATCGGGGGCAGTGCAAGCAACCAATCAAACCCATGAACGCCAGACCACAACGCAATGCGAATCAAGTACAGGAAGAACGAGCTACTAAAACAGAATGCGTTGGGATAACCAATTAACACAAACGAACGCAGACCACAATGCAAAAAAGACCAAAAACGGACCAATAGATTCACTAAATTAGTTACACTCCAAGTAGCCAGTCACGTAAGAAGATATCATATCGCCTTCGAATGCTATATAAACGCACGCAGGCAAGGAAGAGGTACCCACACAACTGCGCACTGATGATGTCCCCACGTATGATGATAAAACGTTTGCAAGCCAACTGCCAAACCCGGCGAGCAGATCAACAACCACCTGATCGACAACCAATAAACTCACCCGAGCTACCAATAGTTCAACACATTACCAAAAAAAAACAGATATATTCCACTGTCTTGCAGTTTTCGAAGTTAAAAACGCAGAAAGTATAGAGCATTAATACAGAGAGGGAATGCATGATATGGTCAGTCATGTTTTATTGAATGATTTCAGCAAGAAATCGGACACTTTTTGATCAGCGACATTTTAGCCAAAGGACTCATAGAACTGTCTGATAATGCACGGGGTTGCCCAACAATTCCAATTATTAATGACACCACGCCTCACTTTCTTGACGTCAGTTTTCAACATATCAAGTTTTCGCATATCTTTTTCATTCCGCAATGTTCGCCGTAACCTGTGAACAGTGGCGATCATCCGCATACTTCATACGGAACCAACGTCCAGCAACGTCACCATCGATGAATCAACATACCATATCCAAAGTATCATGACACAACTGCAAGCCGTACCTACCATTCTGTTCACATCATGTAAGTCCAACGTGACCCATGACACCGAACAACTGAACCTGATAGTTTACCGCTCTGTTTTTACTGATGCTTCGTCCCACATTCTGGGAATTCACCATCATTTTCTGAGGTTGGTTTCTGATGAACACCAATCGGTTTACAGCGATTTTATGAAATCGCGAATTTAGAAGTAAGTTTCAAGGGATTTTCAGAAAGCAAACGTTCAGCAAGAAGCCTCTGAGATTCTGTTCGTCGGACAGTTGAAGAAAGCCGGCAAGCATCCAGGCCAATCAATCATTCAATCAATTCAGCAAAACCTGATGAGTGTTCTTGCGGCAACAACAATGGCAACCATCACTAAACTGCGAAATTTGTTTTCAATATTCGGTATCCCGGAAAATATCGTGTCTGACAATGGTATTCAGTTTACATCCCATCAGTTTAGCGAATTCGTTCGAAGACACGGCATCACATATGTTACTTCTCCAACATTCCATCCTCAATCCAACGGTCAAGCTGAACGGTTCGTTGACACCTTTAAATGTGCGTTGACAAAATCAGAAGGGGAGGGGGCCACGACAGAAGTGCTGGATACGTTCCTGCTGAACTATAGATCAACCCCTAATCCACAGTCTCCGGACGGTCGCTCTCCAGCAGAGGTTACGATGAACAGACGGTTGAGGCTTACACATGACGCTATGCTACCAACACGTACTTGCTTTCAATCACCGACTG